TCGACTTTTGGGCTACCCTTTAATCAGTCGAGGTGGCGCTCGAGCATGCCCTTTGGTGACGAGGATGGCGATGCTGGCGGATGTCCTTGTCGGTTGGCCACCCAACCTTTCTTCGGGCGAGGTGCCAGACTGCAAGAGTATGGGATTCGCCTCGTCAATATCTCTAGTGATTGCCTTTCGCGCTGTTTCACTCCAGGAGTCAAGCAGGCTGAAACACCGCGTCTCGATGGGGTGGAAAGAAGTTCCAACGGGAAACGAGGCAGGTGCGACGGGCGAAATGATTTTCAACGACAATTGATTCACAGCAAATGATGAAATGAAATAAACCAGCCAGCTAGCTGATCTCGAGAAACGAGGGTTTGATGAGCCGAACGATTCGAGACCCTGGCGAAGTGCAAAGCAAATCAATCCAGCTCCTCAGGGCATCAATCATCGGCCGTTCCTCTTCGTCCTCCTCGTCTACCGCACTGTAATGTGGTCCCCTGATGTGCCGGCTAGGCTGGCTAGGCCCGATATCGACGCTACCCAAAAAGCAACCCTGTCTAGTCGTCCTGTTCAGGCCATCTTACAGGTCACGTAGCTTCTTCCCATCACTAAAATAATCTGACCCATCAAAGAGAGTCCCTGGGCGGCCATCAAGGAGGGGGTGGTACCAGCATGAGAGGCGAGGAGGAGGCTAGCACAATTTCCGCTCCTCGCATCTCCGCGCGCGTTGATTGGTTCGTTTTGTTGATATTGATGGCCACATCCCCTGACTTGCCCCTGAGTCCGTTAAGCCCCCCACCAAAATCCCACCCAATGACACCAATGGCAGGATCTCTCTCCCCAGCCTTGCATTGTCTATGTGGATGCTGCACCCAAGGGGTGGACAACGGACTGCATAGGCGCGAAAGCAGATTGTATTGTCTCGACGTGTCTGCCAGGCGCGTGCCGACGGGCACCATATGAGGGCACGATCGGACCTTAGACAGGACCTATAGAAGTGTTTCCCTTTCCGTCAGAGCAAGTTCGCTGCCCACGTTGGTTGAAGGGGAACGTCGCGAAATCTCGGTGCCCCATCCATCTGCATACCCACTTTCGAAACAGAAACAGAACATACCTACCAAGCCTCAAGTGAACCGCCTTCTGTGCCAGCCCTGAGCCTGCCCATAGCTCTCGCGGGGCGGGGAGCTGCACTAAGCACTCGCTGTGGTGAGGCGTCCCAGCGAGGCTCACCCTGACTTGCCTGACAGCATCCGAACCTAGCTCTATTGTCGAGAAGCCCCTCCATACTACGACGCCGTACGTGTGCGACCGAGCGATCCAATTCGGGTTTTGGTGAGCCATCGTAGCTCCACTGCTCATGCTTTGCCCTTGGATGGTTCGCCTCTGACCATGACGTCTTTCATCTACATGTACGTGTCCCAGCCCACATACTGACGTGTCCCCGGTCAGGAACAGAGCGAGCGCAGGGCTCGCAGGGTTCTTCCTCGCATCTTGCCGCCTGGCGCTACTACCTGCGCATTGTGCTGTCATTGAAAGAATATGTGCTGGTCAGTCGGTCGGCACACCCTTGTCAAAACCACAGCCCGTATCGTCATGTAAACATGCAGGGCTTCTTGATCTTCAGATGCCCTGAAGTCGCCCAAAAACCTGTAACAGGCCATGGGATTGTACCACAGACGACTGATGTTGAGCAGAGGGATGATTTACTCGTCGCATTAGATTTTCTGTCAGGCCAAGCCCAACCGCCGGATGCCGCTGTTCTCCCGGCAAACACCTGAGTAAGTACACGTTGCAACGCTTATATATCCAGGCCACTAATAACGCCCGGCCGTGAGAACATGTCTTTTCTGTACAATTTTCCCCCCTGAATACACCACGACCCAATCAATATCCCGTGCTCCAATTGTTCGAGGGCTCATCCCTGTAAAAGGTTTCCTGAATCCCGACAAACCTCGATAGCTCACGACGGCACGAGGGACAGCTAAGGGGCGGAAGCTGACGTGGGCGTCTGCGGCGGGCCTTGCGAGTGCGTGACTACCGGACTGGCCTGCGCCGTGCCAGGCTTCTGGCCTGGTGCTCTGTTGTATGTTGGCTCCTTCTTCGGATCGACACCAGGGTAAAGACCTTGCAGCTGCGTGTACAGCTCTACCATGAGTTTCTGCCTCTGTTCGCGGTCCACCATGGGTTCGAGGGCTCTGGTCTCCTCGTCAGCTCCGGGCGGATGAGACTTGACGGGAATTTTCATGTTCAGTGGTGGAGGCGTCAGATACGCTGGGCTCGGGGGAAGTGTCGCAGGCTTGCGGTCACGGTCAACCATGGTAGCGAGATAGCTCAGATTTCCTTGCAACCTCCGCATGCATCTGGAACAATGTGAGCAGGATTAAAATAATGGCTACTCCACAGCGTTCACTTACTGGTTGTAGTCTTGCTGTGCCATCATTTCCTCCCGAGATGGAGGAGCTCCTGCTTCTGGCGGCCCGGAATCTTCCTTGAGTTCATGCAACGTCTGCTGCATCCTGATCGACTCATACAGAAGCTCATTATTAATGCTCAACAGCACCATCATCCTCTCCTGCTCTCTGGTGGCCGAGCCTGGGCTGAGGGGGGTTGCTGCAGGCGGAGCACCGTTGACGGCGGGGTTCTGTGCATTCGAGGGAAAGGTCGGTGTCTGAGGCGTCGCTGCAGCACTCGGCTGCTGCTGATTCGCAGGGGGTTGGCTTTGTGGTGCAGGTTGGGGAGTCGAGTGCTGGGACTGCTGTCCTTGGGCCATGTTGTGATTCGGGGTGCCTTGCGAGGCACTAGGCGGCCTTTGAGGAGTCGGACTTCCCACCACACCCATTTGGTTTGGTTGCGTCTGGTGTTGTTGAATATGTTGCTGGTGTTGCGGTTGCTGATTGGCCTGTTGATGATGCTGTTGTTGTTGTTGTTGATGATGCTGCTGCTGCTGATGCTGCTGCTGATGCTGCTGCTGATGCTGCTGCTGCTGCTGCTGATGCT